TACAAAGTTACTTAAAAGTTTACTTCTTATTGAGCTTTAACATATACGCACACAACTAAAAATTACTATTCTAGAGGTAAGAGCATATTCTCTATACCATTTTCAAATCGTTTTCTGTTTTCAATTTTCCAAAACAATCTCTTTCCTATTTTCGAAAACACGTTTTTGAAAACAAGTTAAAAAATTACAAAGAAAAATCAAAACAATAATTTGTCGTTTTGAGTGTGTTCAGTTATAATCAAGTCAAAATTTTCAAAACGCGTTTTTGGGTATTTTAAAAATAATTTTTCAAAATGCCAAAAAGAACATATTTTCAATAATCTCAAAATGGACACTCAAAACACAAAACTGAAATACAAAGAGAACAGCCACTTTTCACAAGTACATTTCGTGTTTCTGCAAAAGAGAGTAAATTTTGAAAAATGCTGTGTGTAAGTGTTTGTTCCTCTATGTAGTTACCAAGTTACTTCACTTTTCCAGTCACGCATATGGGGAACAAACAAAAGAGTTTAGTACTTCCGAAGAGTGGTTTGGAGAGATTATTTGACGTAAAAAATAGTTAAAAATAATGAAAAGTCATGAATTCGATGCAAAATCGTTTTATTGAAAAATGTATGATTAAAAATAAATTTGAAAACAAATGATTTTCAAAATATTATGTGCCAATAAAACACTAAATTCCGAAGTTTTTGTCATCCTTTATTTAAATCTAATACCATCCATTGCTCAAGTGATGGCAAAATCTTACATAATCAAAACAACTAGATGATACTCATTCTTATATACTCACATAAATATGAGCTTTGCTATTTGTACAAAAATAGATATACAAAGTTCGTACAGGCCAGACTTGACATTTTTTTATTGGACATTGGCAAAAGGAAAAAACGAAAAATGAAAAACAAACAACCATACAGGTACTGCCAATGCAGCACCTGTAACTCCATTGGCAGTTAAATCCATAAATATGGTGAAAATGCGTGGATCAATGTATAAACGTTTAATTTGAGATAATAGTACGTAAAATATAGCAACAAAGTAATCAAACTCACAATATACAATAGCATGCATCGACTTGAATTCGAAATTCACTTCACCAAAAGAAGAATGAATGAATTACACCCCGGGGATATATCTAAATAAAACTGCAAGTTATACCTACATTGATATAATTGCCACTTAATGAAAGAAACTTAAACTTCCCCAGAAACCTCCATCTGAATCTATGGGACGATGATCCAAGGAAGCAAACTTTATGTTTGACCTTACAAATCAGCACGAACAATGGAATACAGAGTTGTCAAAGCACTTTGCTTTGCTCGTGATCTTCCTAACGCCTGTTCCATTATGAGAAGAATTTACAGTTTGCGGGGACACAGCGATCCTGTCCATTACATTGACCTTAGGGGCCTCGAGTATAGTCTTGGTAGACGATAATGCAAATTGCATTCCCCATATTGAAAGCGGCCTCATATATATAAGAGACCGGAAGTGCCCACCGATGGTCCATGCTTCTGGAGTTTGAAACGAGTATCTGCACCAAAAAGCAAATATTTCATTCTAATTAGTGCTTGTTTGGGAGAGTTTAAATTATAATTTCAGCAGCGGATCCCACATATTATGGATTAGAAGTTGGCTTCACCAAACATTTGCAACACAGTGAAATGAGAACGAAAATTACACGAACTCCTACGAGATTACATAACTTA